CTGAGCCTGTCTCTCTCTGCTCTCACACTCTGTGGGGGGCGAGGGGGTGGAATGCTTGTGTTCCTACCCTTCTTCTCTCCTTCTGCATTTACGGAGCCTGGCTAGGTGCTGGGAATGTGATGAGACACAGTGCAGAGCACAGACAAGTCAGCACATGTGGTCCACTGGACAGCAGCCCCCCTGAAGATGACCACACTCCCTGAGACCTTTGACTGTGACCTCATGTGGCAAAAAGGACTTTGTCGATGTGATTAAGTTAAGGGTCTTGAGATGGGAAGGCTATGCTGAATTTCTCAGGTAGACCCAAAGTAATCACAAAGTTACTTATTAGTGGTTCCTTATAACAGGGAGGCAGAGGGAGACTGACTACCTGAGAGGAGACGGTAGACTGAGACTGACTACCGAGATGCGACCACGGAAGCAGAGGTTGTAGTGATGCAGCCAGGAGCCAAGACATGCTGGCAGCCTCTGGAAGTGGAAGCCAAGAAATTGATTTTCCTTTGGAGCCTCCAGAAGGGCCCAGCCCTGCTGGTGCCTTGCTTTCAGTTCTTTTTGACTTGTTTCAGCTTCCGACCTCCAGAATGATAAGAGAATAAATTTATGTTGCTATTAGCCACCAAGTTTGTGATTATTTGTTAGAGCAGCAAGAGGAGCTAATACAGTGTGTCCCTGCCATATTCTAAGTGTTAACACCACTTCCCTAATGATGAAGGAGACCGAATGGCTCGGTGGTTCCAAGCTAGACCCCTGGAGTCCCAGTGCTTTGTTTCAAGTTCATGTCCGCCTTTTGTTGGTTAAGGGGCCTTTTGCCATGTTGCTTCTCAAAGCCCCACGTTCGTCTGTCATCAGTAAAATAAGGGTAATAGTAATTTCCATCTCATGTGTGGTGATGAGGACTGAGCTGTGAAACGCCCGTGAAGTTCACTGTCTGGAGCACAGTCTGTACCCCAGCACCTTCCTCCTGTGCCTTGGCTCCTGCGCCTCATTGACAGGAAGGCACCAGTTGCTGGAGACCCGCTCAGCAGGGATGCCGCAGTGCTGGGCAATGTCGGGAGAGGTTTTCTGGGGTGGGGCTTGTGGATGGGAAGATTGACAGGACACTTAGTAGTTTTGGCTCTTCTCAGTCACTCACTCCTGATCCTCACAGTCACTGACGTTCACAGGCAGCCTCAGTTTACCTCTGCAAGTTATTCATGGACATACATCATTCTTTTATTTAGTAAACAGGAATCTTGCCCCTGCCATGTACCTGCCAGTCATCGCAGGAGTGAGTAGAGTGGATGGAAGCTGCTGCAGGGTTATCACGCCTGGGCTTTGACAGAAAGGCACTAGAAGGCTGTCAGCAGCTCCTGGAGGACAGCTGAGCAGGTGACTGTTAGAGAAACCCGAGGCTTTGGTAAGGCCAGGACTTGGCCACAGCATGCTGTTCCATTTCTGCCTATCCCTGCTGCATTGAGGATGCAGCCTCCAGGCCCGCCATGGGTTCAGGCTCTTTCCCTGGGACATTCGGGATGGCTTTGATGCTCTTTGGTTTATCACACTTGCTATTGAGATTCTCACCAAATAGCTGCCTGGGCCCCTCTCCTCCTGGGCAGTTAGCCACTGCCACTGCCACTGCCAGAGGTCCAGAGAAGGAGGCTCTCCCAGGCAGTGGGAGGAGGCAGGGATGCCCAATACCCAGCACTTCTGGGGCTGGGCACTGTGCTGGGCCTTAGGCACTGCGATCACCCCACCTCTGAAGGGCAGGAGACACTGGGCTCATTTTACCGCCTCCCCACCTGTCTTTCAGTTGGTTACGGGGCATAAAGCCCATCTGTTTTTATTTTGCACATACATTCAGAGGGGAGTAATCATCATCACTGCTTCCCACATGGGGAAACTGAGGAACAGAGAGGCTGACTGACTTATGGTCACACAATGAGTAAGAGGTGATCTCAGATGAGATTCTCTGATTTATGCTTTTAATAGATTTTTTCAGGTGTGGGTTTGCGGGAGCTTGCTTTGATTGCTGTAGAGAATGTTATTTATTTTTATTTTTTTTTATTTTTATTTTTATTTTTTCTCTTTGAGACGGAGTTTCGCTCCTGTTGCCCAGGCTGGAGTGCAATGGCGCGATCTCGGCTCATTGCAACCTCCGCCTCCTGGGTTCAGGCAATTCTCCTGCCTCAGCCTCCTGAGTAGCTGGGATTACAGGCACGCGCCACCATGCCCAGCTGATTTTTTGTAGTTTCAGTAGAGACGGGGTTTCACCGTGTTGACCAGGATGGTCTCGATCTCTTGACCTCGTGATCCACCCACCTCGGCCTCCCAAAGTGCTGGGATTACAGGCATGAGCCACCGCGCCCGGCCCGAGAATGTTATTTTCCCCACCTGGAAATGCTGTTGTCACTGTTACTGTGTTGTTGCAGTTTGTTTGCATTCCTGAGACCATGTCAGCAAAGGGCTTGGCGAGGGCAGTTCGGGGCAGCCTTGAAGCATCTGGCTTGTAAGAAGAGTCCATTCTGAGGGAGGATCTCAATGCATTTTTTTTTTTTTTTTTTCAAAGGGAGTCTTGCTCTGTCGCTCAGGCTGGCATGCAGTATGGAGTAATCTTGGCTCACTGCAACCCCCGCCTCCTGGGTTCAAGTGATTATCCTACCTCAGCCTCCTGAGTAGCTGGGACTACAGGTGCCTGCCACCACACCCGGCTAATATTTGTATTTTAGTAGAGACAAAAATTATTTTTTTATGTGTATTTTCACATGTATATTTTCACTAGGTCAAGCTGGTCTCGAACTCCTGACCTCAAATGATCCACCCAGCTTGGCCTCCTAAAGTGCTGGGATTATAGGTGTGAGCACTGCACCCAGCCTTCAATGCATGTTTTAGCATAAATACGTGCTAGGCTGGCTGTGCCCACAGACAGAAGGGAGTACCCAAGCATCCCAGTTTCTCTACCCTTGCCGAGAAGCCTGGGCTCTGAACCCCATGCCTCAGTGGGACCCAGAGCTGCTCAGGAGCACACGAAGCTCAGTCTCTGCCCCTGCCTTCCAGGTAAACACAAAGGCCGCTGGCGTTGGTGGCTGAGAGCCCACCAGCGCATTGAGCTCAGTACCATTCCTGGTGTTGGTGGGGGGGTGACGGTGCAAAATCACCCTTGATGAAGAACGACCGGTATAGTCTAGTGATTCCCAACATTTGCAATACCAGAAATCCCTTTTACTGATTCTCCTTCCCTGGGCGGGAGTTTATCAGCCCAACAAACTTCATGGTTATGTATTTATTTCTCCACTTTCTCATCTAAAAATACCTGCCAGTGGGAGTTTCTGATCCGGGTCACCAGGCTGCGTTGCTAAAATTCGGGCCAGTATCAGGCAAAGACACTTGATATTTTAGGTGACAACTGTGACCTTATTTGGGAAAAAAAAAGGTGCAATTTCTGGTAGACTTCTTGACCCTTTGAAAAATAGCCTGAGGACCCCCATAGAGGAGGCCTGAGATTGGAATCCCTGTTATAAACTTTCATTTTGCTGTGTGGAATTAAGAATTTGGATCAAATGTCCATGGAAGCTTCCTTTGAGTTCCCTGTTTCCCCCAGAGCCTCTGTCCTGTCTTGTCCCCTTTTGGCGTGAGCGGTGTCATTATTCAGCACGTATTTATTCAGTGATCACCACATGCCTGGCACTTCCCTGGCTGCGAGGTTGCCGCGGTGAACAGCAGATGCAGGCATGGTCCTAATGGGGTCTGTAGCCAAGTGAGGGAGGCTAAGAAAGAAAGAATGTCATTTGCAGCAGCGGTAAGTGCTGAGAGGGAGGTGTGGCACGTGAATGGGCTTCAGGGTGCTGGTCTCCGGAGTAACGAGCCCCTGTAAACGATCAAGCCACCCATTTCCCAGCTCTGCCTGTTGCCCAGCTTCCACTTGGCCTCTTCAGGGTCATTTAGCAGATTCATTGACAGGACCCGGTTCCTGTTACTTGACTCCTTGGGGACGGAATCCTTTATTGCTTGCAAAAATACTCTCTGCAGTAGGTTATGTCTTACTAATTGAGAGGGGTTCTGAGAAGCGGAGCAGCCCCACCTCACTAGATTCAGTGAGAGAAGGCCCTATAGGTACCTTGAACCTGACGTGGTGGACAAAGCACCCTGCTGAGAGCTGGGCAGGTCTTCGGAAGGAGATTTAATGTTCTGCAGTAGGAGAGATGATAGTTCCTCTCTCCCTCTCCAGATGTCTGCAGCCAAGTCGTCAGAACACAGAAGGGACCTTGCAGCCATTGTGTCTTTGTGCTCGGGTCCTGTCTGAGGGAGGGAAGGGAGGCAGGAGGAGGGGAGAGACGGATCAGCTGCATTTGCCAAGCCAACCTCCTCAGCACTGGGTGTCCCTCCTCTTGGCCACTGGAAGGCTTTCTTCTTCCTGGCCACGATCAAACACCGTTTCTTCTTTCTGCCTTTGTTCCCTGTGAGTCCGTGACTGTTGCTGTGTGAAATAGTAGCCGCTTGGCAGGGGAGTTCATGGAGGTTGCAGAGCACCTTCTCAGGTTCCTGCCTCTCCTCCGTTCCCCCTTCCTCCCTCCTGCCACCTTTCCTTACCTGGCAGTCATCTAATTCTTCTCTTTTAGAATACGGTTCAGAAAACAATCCACACCAGCTGCCTTGGGGAATCCTCCAAAGAGACAAATTCTACCCTGTGCCCACCTCTCCTCTAGGTAGTACCTTTCAGTGCTTCCTCCCTCCCCTCCTGTTGTCCTCAAGTGAATGCCCCAAATGGCCCTTGCTCAGCTTCTAAGGCCCTGGTGGGTGCTGCTTCCCTTTGTAGCTGGGTGGGTTTCAGGAAATGCCCCATCTGGGCATGAGAGATGGGCAACCATACCTCAGGGGAATTGGTGGCGGGGAAGAGAGTCTAGCCAAAAAGGCAAAAAGGACAGGGATGCTCAGAGGGAGTCATGGTAAGGACTTGGGCTCTTTCTCTGTTGAGAGGGGAACATCGGAAATTTTTAAAAGATTCTGATTTGCATTTTACTCAGATCCTTCTGGCTGCTGTGTTGAAAGTGGGCTGGAAGTGGCAAAGGTGGAAAGACAGGCTGATTAGGAGGCTATTGCGGAAAACCAGCATATGGCAGTAATCCTGGCCTGGGGCATGCAGAGGAGATGGGAAGACCTGATCAGATTCAGAATGTATCTCAAAGGTAAGATTTGCTGGTGGATTGGCTATGGCGTGCCAAAGAAATATGATCCCAATTGTTGTTTATCTCCTGCAACTACAGAATGAAGTTTCCGTATATTGATATCGGCGAATCCTCAGATTGAGCAGGAGTGCCTATTTGTTTGTTTGTTTTTTGGACAGAGATGGAATTGTTATGTTTGAGTTGTTGGTCAGACCTCCAAGTGGCGGCAGTGAGGAGGCAGCTGCATGTACAGATCCACAGCGTCCACATGGCCAGGCCATGGCACTCAGACATGTGATCAAACACCAGTTTAGATGTCATCATGGTGTTTGTTTTGAATGAGGTTAACATCTAAGTAGACATTGAGGAAGGGACTTTACCCTCCACAATGTGAACAGGCCTCATCCCATCAGTTGAAGAGTTTTTTTTTTTTTTAATTGCATTTTAGATTTTGGGGTACATGTGAAGAACATGCAAGATTGTTGCATAGGTACACACATGGCAGTGTGATTTGCTGCCTTCCTCCCCATCACCTATAACTGGCATTTCTCCCCATGATCTCTCCCCCCAACTCCCCAACCCCCACTGTCCCTCACCTATTTCCCCCCGACAGACCCCAGTGTGTGATGCTCCCCTCCCTGTGTCCATGTGTTCTCATCGTTCAACACCCGCCTGTGAGTGAGAACATGCAGTGTTTGATTTTCTGTTCTTGTGTCAGTTTGCTGAGAATGGTGGTTTCCTGCAGAGGACACGAACTCATTGTTTTTGATGGCTGCATAGTATTCCATGGTGTATATGTGCCACATTTGCCCTGTCCAGTCTATCATCAATGGGCATTTGGGCTGGTTCCAAGTCTTTGCTATTGTAAACAGTGCTGCAATGAACATTCGTGTGCATGTGTCCTTATAATAGAAAGATTTCTAATCCTTTGGATATATACCCAGAAATGGGATTGCTGGGTCAAATGGAATTTCTATTTTTAGGTCCTTGAGGAATCGCCACACTGTCTTCCACAATGGCTGAACTAATTTACACTCCCACCAACAGTGTAAAAGTGAGTTGAAGGGTTTAAGAGTAAAAAGACTGAGGAAGTGGGAAGTGGGAATTCTGGCTTCACATTGCCTTTGGACTCAAGCTGCAGTATCAGCTCTCCCTGGGGGCTCCAGCTTGCTGGCCTGCCCTGCAGAGTTTGGACTTGCCAGCCCCCATAATCACATCAGCCAATTCCTTAAAATCTCTCTCTTTCTGTCTCTCTCTTTTCACATACACACATTCTACTGATTCTGTTTTTCATGAAAATCCTAACACATGGAGTACAGGGATACATTTGGATATCCAAAACTTATGCAAAAATGGATATTTGGATTTGGATTTGTAAGTTATGTAAGCCTTAAATATGAGCGTGATCATCAAGAGGCCATCGTGGGCAGAGAGGAGCAAGTCCACGGGGCTGCACAGCGCAGGTTAAGAGATTCAGAAATTATGTGTGTATGTTTGTGTGTATTTTATGTGTGTTGTATGTGTTTGTGTGTGAGTGCTTGTGTGTTTGTGTTTTGTGCTTTTGTGTGTGTGTTTGTGTGTGTTGTTTGTACTTGTGTGTTTGTGTATGTACATTTGTGCTTGTGTATTTGTATGTGTATTGTTTGTGTTCATGTGTTTGTGTGTTTTCTGCTTGTGTTTGTGTGTATATGTTTGTGCATATATGTGGTTGTGCTTGTATGTGTGCGTGTTTTGTACTTGTGTGTGTTTGCATATGTTTGTATAATTGTGTGTTTATTCTTTTGTGTTTGTGTCTTGTGCTTGTGTGTGTTGTTTGTGTGCATGTGTGTGTTTGTGTGTATGCTTGTGTGTGATTATGTTTATGTGCATGTGTGTGTGCATATGTGTTTCTGCTTGTATATGTGTGTGTTTCTGCTTGTGTTTGTGTTTTGTGCTTGTGCTCGTGTATGTTGTCTGTATGTGTTTATGTGTGTGTTGTGTGTTGTGGGCCTGTGTTTGTGCACGTTTGTGCATGTGTGTTTATGCTTGTGTTAATGTGTTGTGCTTGTGTGTTGTTTGTATATGTTTGTGCTTTTGTGTTTGTGCGCATATGTGTGTGTGTTGTTTGTGTGCATGTGTGTATGTATTTGTACTGGTGTGTTTGTGTGCATGTGTGTATGTTTCTGTGTGGTATGCATGTGTGTTTGGTGAATGTGTGTGTATTTTGTGTGTGTTGTTTATGTGTGTGCGTTTTGTGTGTGTGTGTGTGTGTGTGTGTGTGTGTGTGTGTAGAGGTTGCTGAACACTAACGATGTGTCAAGCATCCCACATTACTAGATGCTACCTCTTCTTAAAGCAGTTTGATGTCTTCATGGAGAGCCATCTATCTCCTTACATTTTCTGGAAGTTTGGGAGGGATTCTCATGGGGCCACCTATTTATTTGACTGATGCTTTGCAGTTCCTGTGTCACAGTCCCTCTAGTGTTCTGGGCAGCAGACTGACATCCAGTCATTCCTACTCCTGTGTCAGAAACTGATTATTCCAGCATCTTCCTTCCAGGCTATTCTCAGTTCCCCTAACCTCCAGTCTCTTGAAGCTATTTAGCGTCCCTCGGTACTGAGTAATCCCGTTTATGAAAGCATATGAAGCTTCCTTACTGGCATGCGTTGGTACAAATAGTTTTGCAGTCCCAAGGGATAGGGTCATTTGAACTTGGTGACTTGAAAAACACTTGGTGTGAATAATGTGAAGTGCAGGACTATGGTGATGAATTTCCCTCACTCTCTTTGTTCTTTGTTTTCTTTGTAAGGCAGAATGTTTAACCCACGTTTTCCAAGAACTGGGTAGGTGGGTTGCTGGGGACAATTGATTTTTAGAGAAGTATTGTTTCTCTGGATGTGGAAACTAAGAAGCAAAGAATAATATTGAGCAAGAGTCGTCCTGATGACCAGGCCTAGGCTAATTATGGCAATAATGTTGCAATGTGTTTGGACCATCATGCAGTACAAAAGCACCACTTCTCCCCAAGGTGCCCTGGACCCAGGGTCATCCTCAGGGCCTTGCTCTAGCCCCATGTCACCCAATGTCAAGCTGGATCATCTACTTTCTAAGGCTGTAATTGATGCTAAGGGTGGGATCACCCCTTCTTCTTTAAAGCAGTGGGATCACCATCTATGAGGAGATTGGACTAGGTGGTTATTTTATTTTAAGACAAGCTGTCACTTTGTCGCCCAGGCTGGAGTGCAGTGGCGCGATTTTGGCTCACTGCAACCTCTGCCTCTAGGGTTCAAGCAATTCTCATGCCTCAGCCTCCCAAGTAGCTTAGAATTACAGGCGTGCACCACCACACCTGGCTAATTTTTGTATTTTTAGTAGAGACAGGGTTTCACCATGTTGGCCAGGCTGGTCTTGAACTCCTGGGCTCAGGTGATCTGCCTGCCTCAGCCTCCCACAGTGCTGGGATTACAAGTGTGAGCCAGTATGCTTATCCTTGGACTAGGTGGTTTCTGAGCAGTGGGGATGGGTCAATGGGAGGGTGCCTTCCCTAAATAAAGAGGCCAGCTCTCCCTTGGCATCCACTTGCTGTTGTATTGTGGGAGGGTGGGTTCAGTGCCACCAAATTAATTTTTGTATTTTGAATATAATGAAAGTTTCTGAATTTTGGATGTAGGCAATAACTTCAAAAATATTTAAAATACCCTGTGGGTGAAATCTGTAGCTGGATAAAGCCCGCAGGACTTTACTTTGCGACTCGTATTCATGCATTGCTCCCCATGGCTTATCACAGGCTGGGGGCCAGGAGGTGTGGGAAGCTCTTTTGATTTATTTTGTTTTGAAGTCAGTGTATCTTCAAGGAACTGAGAGAGCAAAACTCGACTGGAGCTGGGTTGCAAGATGCTGTTGGCTAGAGACTTAGACAGAGCATGTGGCATTCTCTCCCTCATGGAGGGAGATGCCTACAGCGGGAGCCTCAGCAGCTGAGCCCCTCAGGCTTGATCCCTGGGTCCTCCACCCGCTGTCCGTGGCTCTGTGGACTCCATGGCATTCAGAGCTGGGGGATATCAAGTCTTTCAACATCTTAATTTTTTCAGTGAATTATTATATTTTGGAGATCTTTGTGTGTGCATATGTATGAATGTGTACACTTACATTATTCTTTTTTAACTGCTGTAGAGTATTAATTAAGTTATTTTCCCCAACTATTTCCGACACATGCACACACACATGAACAAGAAGGGCAAACGTCTTGCCTTTTTTTTTAAAAAAAAAGACAGAGTCTTGCTCTGTCATCCAGGCTGGAGTGCAGTAGTGTAATCATGTTTCACTACAGCTTTGACCTCCTGGGCTTAAGTGGTCCTCCGACCTCAGCCCCCCTAAGTAGCTGGGACTACAGACATGCACCATCACATCTGGTTAATTTTTTGATTTTTTTTTTTTTTTTGGTAGAGAAGGGATGTTTAAGCAAGCCTCCCACCTCAGCCTCCCAAGTAGCTAGGACTATAGGAGCATGCTATCATGCCTGGCTAATTTTGTTTATTTTTGGTAGAGAAGGGATGTCACTTTGTTGCTCAGGCTGGTGTCAACCTCCTGGGCTCAAGCGAAGCTGCTGCCTCAGCCTCCCAAAGTGCTAAGACTACAGGCAGAAGCCACCACACCTCGCCCCAAACATCTTATCAGACAAGCCTTTCTTGGCCACTCTCTGCAGACAGCACCCACCTCACACCCCCGTCTTCCTTTTTGTTTCTATCTTGATTGATCTCCATGGCACTTATCACCATCTGACCCACCATATAGTTACTTGTTTATTTGTTGACAGTCTGACACCCCCATCTCTTCATGAACCCCAGGAACTAGAGACTTCTTGTTAATTTTATTAAGTGCTTTATTCCGTGGGAAATGGTAAGTACCTACTAAACATTTGTTAAATGCATACGTCTCTATTGTAAAGATGACCTCCAGGCCCAGCCTCAGGTACAGAGAGGTAAAGTAACTTACTCAAAGTCACCCAGCTAATGACAGACAAATCTGGGCCCAGAGCCCA